ATGAATTCCATGTTGTACGAGTCACTTAGATTTTACAAATACGTGTGCCGGGCTGTGAACGGCTCACGTATTTGTAAAATCTAAGTGACTCGTACAACATGGAATTCATATAAAACAGAATAATCAACAGTGTTATAGGGGGGTCGACTGTAATTAAATACTCTTACATAGATTTTACTACGAATTGATTTATAAAAATTTCAATTTGAATCAGTTAAAGATGTAAAGACGATTGATAAGTATCGTTATATAATCAGTTTTTAATATAGTTTCTCATTAATGCTGATCGATTGAAGACATTTGAATTTATATTAATGCAGTTTCATCATTACGATGATGAAACTGCATTGTAACATTAATTACAATACCAAATTTATATACGGTATATTTATTAATTTAGGGATCAGATTTAATGCCATTTAAATTAATGTTAAAGAAAAAATATATATAATAATCATATTTTATACAGTTAAAAAGGGTTGTTTGTTTATTGTAAGCGTTGGCGAAATTCAAAGAAAGTTTCAATTTTCACCGCCGTGGCGCTTACAAAGCATAGTCGACCTTGCAGTTGACCTTCTAGCACCCCGTCTATTTCCTGTCTATTGTTTTTTTTTTCTCCTTACTTCCTCCTCTCCCTTACGCGAGTGGAACATTCCTGAACTGCAGACAGCGCAGCTAAAAGTTGGGGGAGAAACAGGGGAGTGACAGTAGTTTGATCACCGATCCTGCGATGTTTGATCCGACCTTGGATCACGTACTAATGTCGCATACCGCATTCTTGGTTATGTTTTTATTCGAATGCCATAACGTGTGAATTAAGAAAGAGCGCTTACTTTTTTTCTCTCTCTCTCTCTCTCCCCCTTTTTCTTTCCTCTACGTTTAAAAATATTATAATACCTGTTTTCGGATTACTTTTATTCACTTCTTAGAAATTGCCACACCCTGTACGGACGAACTGATATTTTTGCAATTAAATTCTTGAAAATATTGATTTTTTTTTACTTTATTTTCATGATTTATTTCCATTGTAGTGTTCATTTAGCTATAAAGAAATGATTGTTAAAGTAGAGAAGCGCTCTATTAATTAATTAGTTTGATTTGCAAGAAATAAAATAAAAACAGTAGTGAATTTTAAAATATTTGTCTGTTTATTAGTACTTCACGGACTAGTTTTGTCGGCTGTTGCCTGCTAGTCTACTCGTTATTGCCCGAAGCAACGAGCAAAAGCGGACCTCCTACAGAACCAGGCAAGGACGTTCTCCATGGTCATTTGCCAAACATGGCGACTGTCTACGTCGTGCCTTTGTTCTTTCTATTTCTTCAAAGAACCGTGATATCGGCTTCTCATTCATATGATTAGACCTTGAAATTCCTTTCTAACTGCGCTGTATTAATTTATAATATGTCTTGAATATTTATTTACTACGTGTTTGTCTGACAATTACAAGAATTTTCCAGTATATATTAGATTAAACTGGTGTTATTTATTTTATGAATTAGCAAAATTCTTTCTCCGAGCGCTTATCGCTTGCGATAAATCGAATCCTCTTCGATTCGAAGATTCGCCCGCGCCGAATTCGATTTGGGTCCGATTTCTCGGGTTTATAATTGAAAAATTTGAAAAAATTCCCTCCGCTTTTCTTTTAAATATGTTTACCTGTTCTGTTTACGATCATTTCCATTTGCCTTTCAAGGTTTTAATGAATTTGATGTAGAGTGAGGAATGTTGAACGGGTGAAGGTTATGCTCCACCTATCGAAAAGTTCTGTCGAATGATTACCTTGACTTATTTGTAACTAATCAATGAATAATTGTAATACAATGCCGACAGAATGTCGAAATGCGTACCAGATTTACACTTCTATAGCGAAATTAGCAGCCGATTAAAATTGCTACTTGAAAAAATGACAATATGTAAAAAAGAAATAGTAATCAATCATCGAATGAAAATAAATTAGATTTTTATTGACATTGATAAAAAAGAAAAGCTTACTTGTATTATCTCTTTGTCTGTCAATAAGCCCATATTTCTTCTATGAAGTTGCAACAGAATTTTTCAGAATAATTTTAAACTCTTTGCACAAATTTGATCAAAATGGAATAAAAAAATTGTATAAATTCGAATTTAAACAACACAAAATAAAGTTTAATATATTTTTAAAAGGTTTAAATTTATGGTTTTGCTTGATTTTCAGTTCTTTGCGTGACTTAAATTAGCTGCGTTGGTCTGTTCTAATAAAGCGATAAAATCTTACCGTTTAAAATTGAAAATAATAATTCATAAAATAATTTTACTGGCGATATTTTAAAAAACAAAAGATTAAAAATGATGAATGAATCAAGAAAGTTGAATATATCCAAAGGCTCTTTTCTTTAAAGGAAAGACTGTTTAAGATATAAATGATCAAAAAATAACCCGAAATGACCTGAAAAATGAAATAATATGACCTAAAATTTAGAAATATTTATGTAAATAATGTTATTTTGTAGTAGTTTTATCGAGATTAAATATTCTCTGTTCCATTTTTAAATTTCACATGCAAAATTAAATTTTAGATAAAAATTTAAAGTAAATATTCTGTATATTTTGTAAATGTTATGAGTAAAAGTAAATTACATATTTTTCTTCATTTTAATTCTATAAATTAATAAATATTTAATTTAATGATTTATAAATTATCAGGTATATGTTACTATCCTATGAAAGTTTAATAAGGAAAATGCTTTTGACTTTTTAAATTACAAATTACTTTTATTCCTTATTGATCTTTAACAGAGAAAATAGGAAAAGTTTAATCATTTAAGTGAAAGAAATGAGGAAAATCTGATCTTGTAGTATGTATAAGCCTATATATATATATAAGATTTTCTCACGATGGCATTAAAACAATTGGAAAACGTTCTTTATAATCACTTCAATATTTATTGTTGTCCTAGTTAAATTAAATTTTTTTCCTCTGATTTTACTCTTATTGTAATATATAATTGCTGTTTTTCAGGAAAAAGCACTTTTCAAATTACGAAAAATGTATGTAACCTTTGCGGAATTTTTTTTTTATGAAAAATTAAATTCTCCCTGAAAAAATATATTTTTCTTGTTCAAAATGAAGATAATGTTAAATATAATCCCGTTTTGCAAAATGTTGTTTATCGGAAATATGTTCTAGCTTTGCATAATATATTTTAGAGAGAGAGTGTCTAGTTTTTGTGAAGTAAACTATATGCAAAGCCAGAATAATCTTAAGATAAAATAAATTTGCTTAGAAAAATATAATTCATGAATATGCATTTTATTGAAAATACGCTGTGCAAAGCTAGAATACATTTGTATGAAATATATGTTGAAGAGAAGGAATGGAATATATTTTGCGGAGCCGGAATATATTTTTAATGGATTTTATATAGGGAAAATACAGTTGTTATGAAATGAATTATGCAAACTTGGCATTTTGCAAAGAATTTCATGAGAAATATATTTTTCAATTCACAAAATGCATTTTATTATAAATATATTATTTTGTAAAAAGAAATATATCCTCTTGCAAACTACTGAATGGATAAGTTTATTTGAAGATCCAGTAAAAATTTGATATATGTCAAAACATAATGATAATTTTGTATTTGTGTAAAGAAACCTCGAAATTATTATTTATTTTGCTTGTTTATTGATATAAAAATTGATTATAATATTAATTCAGTATAAAAATTTATTGATAGATTTAAATTTCAGAGCAATAAATTTCAATAGTAATAAAATGATACATAATCTGAAGATAATATCTTATGTTTTTTTTATATTTATACATATAATTTTCCTCGATTTAATATGATATCATAATTGGAGGTTAACCGAGATTTACATTTGAATAATTTAATAAAAACATTGAAAAATTCCATTCTGTATTTTTAAAAAAAGTATTGAACTTTTTTCTAAAGTTAACTAACCCCATTGTTTTAGGTAATGTTTAAATGGAATTAATTATAAAACTAGTTCAAAATGTGAGAAAGCTTTCAAGAAACAAAATACATTTAGTTGTTTTATCTAACATTTTAAATATATTAAATTTCCTTTTCATAATGAATATTTATTTTTAACAGATTAATATCAAGTCTAAGCTGAGAATGAGGTGTAGCATTAAAACACTCCAACCAGAAAGTAGACGATATAGTTACTGTTGGACTGAAGAAAGCAGTCGAACAAAACGATATCAAGTTTGTTCTAGTTATGAGACTTATGGTGGTCCTGGACATCCATCAAATTTCTGCATCTTACAATTGTGGTAGTATTGAACTTCTATAGTAAAACAATATAAAGCGAGTGCGTTTAGGAATTTACGACATTATATACAATTCTTTTTGTTTTTTATACATTGTCTTTTTACAAAAAAAAATCACTTTTTTTTTGTGAACTGTGTAAAAATTGTATCTTATGACTATGGAAAGTGTGGTTAGTCCTAAATCATCTGGAAGGCCCATGGATATTCAGGAAGAAGTGTGTGATGCCGAAGTGATGCATGTTGTGAATTTAAAAAAACAGAAAGTAGTTACTGTTAGTAATGAAGAACTAGATCGTGAGAGACCTATGTCGTGGGAGGGCGAACTGTCAGATGATGATGATGATAACAATTCAACTGCTGGACAACCACTCAAGATTGGTAAATCTCCTGATATAAATGGTACCGTTTGTCCCAGGCCTCTACCACCTATACCAGGTAATCCTGGTAGTCCTATGTGTTTAGGAGATAGCGAAGAAAATTATCAAATACCAAAGGTAGGTCACGAATCTCTATGTAAATATTTTGCTTTAAGTACAGTAGTTTTAATTTTTAGTATAATTAGAATCACGTTTCTCTTCGGCGTCGTCATGTTTTGTATCGGGTAATTTTGTATTAACAATAACGAAAACTTAAGGCCAAAAAAATATATTTGTTGCCGACGAGAATGAAATTTACGACCTTCGGGATTCAGGCAGAAACCACTAAAAATTATATCAAAATCAGATTTTTACCTTTGGAACAGTAATTTTGTACTTTAGAAACAGGTTGACAGTAAAACTTTCTTATCATTAATGTATAATAAATGTTTTCCTTTATTTTACCTGTTTTTGTTTTTTCTTTTCTTTCTTTAAATTATGATTATAACAGCTTTTGCACATTAACATATTGTCTACAAGGCAAGAACTTAAAGGTCATCAGCATACAGTATCATTGTGGTATTTCACAATTCTTCAAATATTTTGCAATGTTTTTTTTTATATATTTTTATAGTTCTAGGCATTGAAAAAGATGAAAACAATGTGTTGTTCTTAAAAACAACAAATATTTATATTATTTATTCTGTCATCATTAATGGATAACTATTTTTGTAAAGGTTCAACTGTCCTTTGAAGAATTTAGTTCATTGGTATTATCACTAATTTATTTTTTCTGTAATTAATTATAATTAAATATGAAAATAAGATTGTGCATTAACTGAGAATTAAACAAGTGCATAAACTGAGAATTTTGCAAGAAAATTTATTTTTTTTTTTTGAAGTTGAACCATCCTTTTTTTTTATTAAATTCCAATAATAATGATAAAGAAATCAGTTGTATGATTTTTTTTGAAGTTGATTACATATTGAATTTTAAGAAAAATGATTTTTTAATAATTCGAAAATATAATCTGACGAGTAAATTAAAATTATTACTAAATAATTGAGTAACATTATGATTTTAACCACAATTTTCTGCAATGATTGCGCGCTTCTAGTCGATGTTAATCAGCGAAATGTAAAATTGATTTACTTTCCTATCCCGCTTTGCAAGCCATAAATTAATATTTTTAAATATCAAATGTCTGTTCGTGATTTAGTTGCAGTTTCATTAAATAAATGCAACATAAACTTAAGTTTTAAAATAACGCCAGAGAGTTAATTGCTTGTTGTAGGATAGCTTTTGGAATTTATTACTTTGAAGAATCGCGCAACTTTTCCAAAAGCCTCCATCAAAATTTTATTTTCTAACTTTTTATTAAGAAATTTTCTTTTCAAATTTTTGTAAATAAAGATTATTAAATTTTTTGCAATTAAAAATACAGTTTACCCACGAAATACCTTTAGAAATAAGCTTCAGAAATTAATAAAAAAGGTAGGAAAATTTGTAAGCAGCGCTCGACGTTCGACGTTCACGTTCGAGAGATGAAAACTTCGGCCGCAACCTCGCTAATATCAGCTCCTTAAAATCGGAATATAACCCGCAACCCTTTCAAATTGTTTTTAAACGCAATTTAAATTTCTAGATAATGTTAATGTCTAGAAATATTGCATATAATATTCCAGAATATATTCAACAATAGATATAATCTAGAAATTTCAATTTTATTATATAATACAATGATAGAAAACCAGCAATATTATTAAATCGCTACTAAATTCAGCTTAGTGACAATTGAGAATTGACTCAGGCTCTTAAAACATGACCTCTAGTCGTAAAGAACGTGAAGAGACTCAAGATTCTTGTAATAAGTTAAATTGCAAGTAATAAAATACTAGAGAAAACAAGAAAAATAATTTCGCTTTGTTTACTATAATGATACGACGATTTGATAAATATATATATATATTTATATATTTATTTATTTATTTTCATTGTAAATATTGATAATTAAGTACACAATATTAAATATCTATATATTTTAACAGTTTATTACAATATGTTTACTGTTAATTAAGGTATTTGTAATCGCCGTGTTAATTAAAATGCGTTACAAGATCTCTTAAAGAATAAGTTGTTAAGTCGATTGTTTAACAATTTTTTAACACTTAAATATAGAAAATTGAATCCTGAATTGACTTCAGGATCATATTTTATTGTTTGAAATAAGTAATTAAGTTAATTCTTTTCATTAAATTTTCTAGAAATGTATTCGTGTTTAAATTTATACGATTATATGAGTTAATAGCGAGATTGCGGCCGAAGTTTTCATTTCTAAAACGTAAACGTCGAACGTCGAGCGCTGCTTACAAGATAGCGGCACTCGACGTTCGACGTTCACGTTTTACAGAGGAAAACTTCGGCCGTAACCTCGCTAATATCAGATTATTTTATTATATATTAAGCAAATTTTTTAAAATAAATATATAAATATTGAAATTATATAATTTTTTTTTATGAGAGTTTAAATTAAAATTTTGAAATCGAACCCGGCCTCAGTTGATAGCGACTCGTCGACTTTAAATATTCTGTTACAGCTTATGGAATATTATCATTTCCATAAGCTTTAAGTATAAATATGTTTTCTAAGATTATGTATTAAATAATTATTGCTTATTATGCTAAATTATTATAAGATACTGTTAAGTAACAAATTTTAAACCAGTTGACCTATGTTATAGAATAGGCTATAAACTAGTTGATTTCTTCTTTATATTTAGTGTCTGTAAGCGGTTTTAGTGTTTTATGATTCCTTGAAAGTCGTAAAAAACTGGAGCAATTAATTAGAAATTAAAATATGAACATCATTTATATATGAGACATCCTTAAAAGAAAGAAAAATATATATATATATTCTGAATCAATTTTGACCTTGGAATATATGTAATGTGAAACTTCTAAGATTTGCTTTATAGATTTGACAAAAATTCTAATACTAAACTCTCCTAAATTTATCTGTTGATGTGACAGAATTCCTGTAAAATCTACCATTGATTTGACAGGTTTCTAGTACAGTCGACCCCCATAACACTGTTGATTATTCCGTTTTATACGAATTCCATGTTGTACGAGTCACTTAGATTATACAAATACGTGAGCCGTTCACAGCCCGGCACACGTATTTGTAAAATTTAAGTGACTCGTACAACATGGAATTCGTATAAAACGGAATAATCAACAGTGTTATAGGGGGGTCGACTGTATTAAATTTTTGTGAGGTAGGCCCGTGGATATGATACTGAATTAAAGTTTTTCAATATTTAGACAGGACAAATTTTTAAATCCAGTATATATTACATAATATTTGTAGTTTTTGATATTATATAAAGGCTAATAGAACTATATGTTTATATATAAAAAGAGCAGTTTACAAAAAATATCTTATACACTATCTATATGACTTGAAATANAATAAAGCTGAAAATAGAAACTCTATATTAGGAATTATTTAAAGGTTTATTTCAATTTTAGATTAATATCCGATACATTTATTATATCTAGTTTAAAACCCGATTGAGGTCTTTTTTTAAGTTAATTATAAAACTCATTTTAAAATAATATCATTAAAAAAAAACAGTTGTACTAACGAATAAATAAATATCTCGAGCGTAAAAAAAGGAGTGCACCCATTAAGAAGTAATAAAGAAATTGTAGATAAAAATATTTTTCTATTATTTCGAATTAATAGAGTGGAACAAAATCATTTCCTAGTTACATTCGAAAAATGTTTTAATTTTGACAATAACGAATTAATTTAGCAGTTGGTTCGTTTAACTTTAACCTTTCTTCTTTTATAAAACGCGCGTATCTTCATTTGTTTTTTAATGTATAATGGTTTAGATAATTGACGGAAGATCGACTATCCACAAAACATGTTGCATTTTACGACTCGGAATCTTGCATTTATTGTACCATGGACCAATGTAGTCGTCAGACAAGGACTGATAGAGGACCTTGACTTCCAACCTTGACCTTACTGTTCCGCCTACATGACTGCTTAGAGGTCGGTCACCCTCAGTTGAGAGAAAGTTGTCGTGTAGGAGTCGATACCAAAAATCTCGTTGCATTACTTTTTTAAAAAACATAACACGTTGCTAAATGTATACTTTACGTAGAAATCGTATAATACATAATATATACAGTTTTCCAAAAGAGTTTTGAAGTAATTAAAAAAAGATATCCAAAATGTCGGACGATGGTTAACTAGAATAGATCGATAAATCAGTCAAGTTGGGCTTCACAGTGTAGATGTCTACCATTTAGTGTACAGGTAGAGACCGACTGACTGAGCTTTGGGGTTTTAACTTGGCAGACAAAGAACTAACGGGCCAATGACCGCCTCAACGCTCTCCCTCCGTTGTTTTTTTTTTTTTGTAGTACAGAATAAACCTGTTTCCCTTCCATACTCGTTTCTGTTGCATCCCGTGGTTTTTATCGTCATCGTTTGTAATTATTAGTCTTGCTAGCTTCTTATTTTGCCTGCAAAAACTTTATTTTTTTATTTTTAAATATATTTTGCTTTCTGTTAACAAATACACCGATCGGTCATTCGTTATGAGTTGTATTAGTTTACAGCAATCGATAAATTTACGACCATTATTATTAAAATTGCGTGTCAATTGTGTTTTTGGTTTCATTAATTTTTAAATGCATTCGTTCTTTTCATGCTATACTGAATTAAAATTAATTTTTTTTTGGATGTTTAATTACTCTTAATTGCTTAATTTTTCAATGATAAGTGCTACTTTTGCTCGATTTTATAGTCGTTAATTTTAATTATTTTTGTAAAAATTAATGGAGTTAAGAAAAATTAAGAGAGTTTTCCACTAAAAATGGATTACATATTTATTATTATATTATTACAATATATTGTATTGTTTTAAATTTAAATTGTCTTGTTAAATAAGCTTAAAATTCAAAATTTAAATTATTTTAACATACAAAATATTTCTGATAAAATTGTTTCATAATAGAATTTGGGTTACGAAAATAAAATAAGATGCTGCGCTGTTTATTTTAATTTTATGTATTGTTTAATTATAGTCTTTGCACCAACAGACCACTGCAAATGGCACGTTAACTCAGTGTGTCGTGAATGGTACTTGCAGTCCGTCTACTCATCTTCATCCGGCAATCTCCACTACTTGTTCTACTTCTAATCGTAATGCTCCGGTAACCTACGCCACCGGACAGGGAACGGTTTATGCCAATGATCGCCTTTCTTTGGGTCATCCGCCTCCCTACGGTAAGTAAATATACTACAATACTACTTTTCAATGGCATTGTATATAAAAATTAATTACTATTTAAATAAGTTAAAAGACAATTGAATATCTTATATATCTTATATCTCAAATTTACAGAGTTCTTCATATAAATCTTGAAACTTATCTGGCTCTTTTTCATTCATTGATTTTAATTATGATAATTTTCGGTATTCATTTCATTTATTATTTACAGATTGATTTCTGATAACTTTATTTGTTTAATATAGTGTCGCAAGATAATTTAACTAGGCCTATGACATTTCTTATTTAATTTAATTTTAGACTTAATACATTTCTAAAGCTACTTGTTATGATACAAGAGATACAGAATTTATTTATTTTTAATACGCATGTTGTTAAAAATAAATAAATTATGACGGTTATTACATTTATTAATAATTATCATATTTTCTTAATTAAATTATTTTTTTCTAATTAAAAAAGTTATTTAATGTCTTCTGTTTAATGTAAAAAAAAAGAAACAGTTTCGTTAAACTGAGACGTTTGAAAAGAAAACATTTTAAAAGTTAATAAACAAAAAAGGCTGCATATTAAAAGATTTTGTCAAGGTTTGCTTAGTATCATTAAAAATTGCTTTTGTGCACTGAAATATACAAAAATGTAATGTGGTAGCCTTATTTTAGATATAGTGTATAGTGTTTGTTTGGAGAATTGTTTTACACGTTAATGAACACTGGTTTTATAGTCACTTTTAAACATTTTGTAGAAACTTATCAAATAAAACATGCATAATGGTGCTAACATTTAACAGTAAGTGAAACTGATAATTAGATTAATTGAACTGATTAATGTCAAAATAAATACGTTTACTACTTTCTCAATCAACTTTTCAAGCTAATATTCTTTAGTTGGTGTGATGAGTAACCAACCAAGGGTTGCAAAGTAATTTTCAATCTCTACTTTTAAATTGTTTTCTTGCACTAAATAACTGATGGTAATTAGCTTTCTAACTGTAAAAAATTAGTTTGTTTAGACAAATTTAAAACTTGGATATTATATCATAGTTTTTATAGCATGTTTTGCAAGAAAAAGTTTGCTTAAATTATTTTAATATTTCTATTTATATTATTTTATATTATATTTTACTTTATATCTATTTATATTATACTATTTTATTTATACAGATTGTCTGGTTTGAGTGAGTTTATTTGCAAAGATTTATATTAACATTAGTTTTATAAGAAAAATAAACTACTATGACGATTATCATTGTTAAAAGAGAACTTATCATTGAAATATCAAGATATCAAAATATAAATAAGGAATAATAGAAATTAAAATATTCACGTTTAAAAATGTATTAATTTATATTATGAAATATATATCTTATTTATTGTAGAGAGAAAAATAAAATTACATCTACTATCTACCATCAAATATTTGCTGAAAAGTTATATGGAATGGGTTCTAGAAATTGTTTTTTGATCATTGAAATTGTAAATACTGTATTAATTAAATAAAAGCCGTGAATCGTTGAACATGTAATATTCTAAACATATGTATTATTGGAACAAAAAGAATGTGATGATTTTTAAATTAGTTACTTAGATAGTTAAAAATCCTATTAGTAAACATGTCAAGTGTGTTCCACTAGCTCAGATGGTTAATGTTTGTTATGTAACGAAAGGACATAAGCTAAATTCCATGTAAAATCAAAATGATATTTCTATCTAAGTCTTAATTTTTTCTTTAGAAGAACCTGTCACCTGTATACATTATAATAATTGAACTGTATTAATACTGTAATCAGAAAAAATTTACCAAATATTTTTTAAATACAAAAGCCCTTCAGCTTACAATCACTTTCATAGGTGAACAACATTCTACACTGATTATAACAATATTTAGAATGTTATATTGTGTTCTGTGATAAGGAGGATGGTTTCACAAGAATAACTGCTGATATGATGTAATGTTTTTATGTCATCTACTTCTTTACAATAACATAAATAGTGCAAACTATATCAATAGTCAAGAAAAATATGTTATGAAATACATTGTGACCAACATTAGAATTTATCTATCTTGTATAGTTAAAGCCAAATCTCTTTAGCTTCTAATGCAATTTCATTCTGATGATCAGGTTCTAAATAGTAAATATGAACTTGTACTATCATTATTTATCATAACAATACGTATAATTGAGGTTTATCGAATATTCTCAAAAATCATTAAAACTAAAAACTTTTTTTGTAATATAATGACACAAACTGATACCTACTGATTTAGAATGTTTTTATGTCAAAATATAAACAATGACATTCACAAATTATAAAATGTCAATGTTATTGTTATGGTCCTTGAATCTTGGCACCATTATCAATATATGTTTCTATTAGTGTTTGAAATTCTGTTAATTTTAATTGATTACATTTTTGACCTTCTAGGTCAGCTTAATCCATTAATGGTTGTAAACTGTTATAATAGCCAATATTGAACTCGAAGAGAACAACTAACTTCTCTTCAAGTTCAATATCAGATGTTTTAGAAGTTTAGAACTGTTTTTGGCTGAAGCTGACCTAAAAAGAGTAAAAAATTATACCAATTAAAATTAACAGAATTTGGTTTCCATAATAAGCAATAATAGAAAAATGTATGCCAATATTATATTCTTTCTTTTAATATTCTGAAAAGAAAATAACTTTATGAAATGATTAACTATGATTTATGAAACTGTTTTGTCTTATATTTTTTATCTTTACACTCCAGCATTTAAATAAGACATTTAATCAATGTAGCTAACATTTTCAACTGTATTTAATGGCCATCATCAGGCTATTCAAATAAGAACATGCAAATTGAAACATTTATTTAAAAACATTCTGGAATATAACTGCAATTAATTAAAAATAATATGCTGCACTCTGTACATAAGGATTCTTAAAATGGTAGAAACACATATAAAGTTATAATTTTATAATACAATTGGTATAAAATATTAAAGTACTGTACAGTACATCCAACATGTACACATCATATTGCTACAGGATTTTGTAAAAGGTTTTCCACATGTGCAAGATATCATCCTCATTTTTGCAATTTATGGATTTGTCCTTTAGAGATGACTTAAATCTCTACCACTCCAGGTATTTTAGATTGACTATATCATGAACTGGTTTCAAGATACTAACATTAAAGCTATATCATGCACATGGAAACCTTTTATGAAATCCCATAACATGTGATAAGGCTCATCCCCTTCCATTATCTATTGGATGTACTGTACTTTAATATTTTATATAAATTGTATAATAAAATTATTCCTTTATAAGTGTTCCTACAGTTTTAAAAAATCTCTTATGGAAAGAGTGATGGCATATTCTTTTTAACAATCACAATTATGTTTCAAAATGTTTTTAAATGTGTTCTAATTTGAATGTTTTTATTTAGCCTGATGATAGCTTTTAAATATGGTTTAAAACATTAGTTACGTTGATTAAAATGTCTTGATTAAGTGTTTGAGTGTAAAAGTTTCTTATTTATTTGCTTTTATCAATTCTTCCAGTTAAAGTTTTATTATGATATAGTTTTTATTTTAAGAAACATTTTTCTTCAGTTATATTAAAGAATTTTCTTTGTAATTTTCTTCAATGATATTTTAATAGTTTGATAACTCTTAGAATAATCATACATTTTATATTTTATAAGTAAGTATATTTTCAGCCAATAGCTTAACATTTAATGAAATCATCAAATAATTTGTAAATATAGCTGAAAATTTAATTGAGAAATTCAAAAGAAAGTATATTAAATTAAATATTGAAAACAAGCAAAATTACAAATACAAATTTATTTTACTATATTAGAATGAAAATTTAATCCAAAATATATTAATTTATATCAAAGAGAGATTAAAGTAGTGTTATTACAGTAGTAAGATATTACTGGCTGGAGAATACATTTAAGTATTCTTCAGTTAATTGGTTTTGGCTACAAAAATAATAGTTTTGATGCCTAAATATAAGACAAGTTAGTTTTTAGTGGCATAATTACACTTTTATTTGTAAAAAGATTGTAAAATTCTTTGAATGTAAAAATGATATTTTAGGGCAAATTTAGAATTAAGTTCAAATATTCATAAATTGTATTTTATCAAGAGAAAAATGTTGCTTTATATATATTCTCAGCTTTATTCTGATATACATACATACATACATACANGATGATCAGGTTCTAAATAGTAAATATGAACTTGTACTATCATTATTTATCATAACAATACGTATAATTGAGGTTTATCGAATATTCTCAAAAATCATTAAAACTAAAAACTTTTTTTGTAATATAATGACACAAACTGATACCTACTGATTTAGAATGTTTTTATGTCAAAATATAAACAATGACATTCACAAATTATAAAATGTCAATGTTATTGTTATGGTCCTTGAATCTTGGCACCATTATCAATATATGTTTCTATTAGTGTTTGAAATTCTGTTAATTTTAATTGATTACATTTTTGACCTTCTAGGTCAGCTTAATCCATTAATGGTTGTAAACTGTTATAATAGCCAATATTGAACTCGAAGAGAACAACTAACTTCTCTTCAAGTTCAATATCAGATGTTTTAGAAGTTTAGAACTGTTTTTGGCTGAAGCTGACCTAAAAAGAGTAAAAAATTATACCAATTAAAATTAACAGAATTTGGTTTCCATAATAAGCAATAATAGAAAAATGTATGCCAATATTATATTCTTTCTTTTAATATTCTGAAAAGAAAATAACTTTATGAAATGATTAACTATGATTTATGAAACTGTTTTGTCTTATATTTTTTATCTTTACACTCCAGCATTTAAATAAGACATTTAATCAATGTAGCTAACATTTTCAACTGTATTTAATGGCCATCATCAGGCTATTCAAATAAGAACATGCAAATTGAAACATTTATTTAAAAACATTCTGGAATATAACTGCAATTAATTAAAAATAATATGCTGCACTCTGTAC